TCCCCCCTCCTTCCATTCCCCTCTCCCTCAGAGGTGAGGGATACTGAGACCTGTGATCCTCCTGCCTCAGCCTCCAATGCCACTGGGGTTACATCCCTGATGCTTCTGTTCTCACTCACCTCAGTTTACCCAGCACCATCTCACCATGGCTTCTGTGCTTTATAATCTTATAAATGGTCTAAGATAGTCCTAGAATATGGGGAATGATTTTAGGTGCTAAAATGGACAGGTATTGAACAATTTAATGAAAATGTAAGGAGCAGAATGTTGTGAACCCAAACAAAAACTTTTTGTGTGCACCTCACACATCCACTTACCAACATCTAGGAAAACATGCACCGGGCTATTTAGATCAAGGATGAGAACGGAAGATTCAACGTGGGAGAATAACGCCTTTCTCTGAAATGTGTCCCCTTTACCTCCATCATCATCCAGTACCGGGAACTGAGCTGCACCCTAGCTCTTTTTCTACCGGGAGGGGGCAGAGTCTCGCCAACGTGGCTAACCTGCTAAACTTTCGACCTCCTACCTCAGCTGCCCAGAGCACCAGGAGGACGGGCAGCGGCCCCACCCATGGTTTCGTACAGAATTCTTAGCTCTCCGGTTAGTGGAAGATTGAGACCTTCTGACCTCCGCGATCCATTCCGAGCATTCCACCCAAGACAGCACAGGGACCGAAAGTAAACAGCTGTCAAAGGCACCGCAAGAGCCCACAGAACCGGCTCCCGCAATCCGTCCGGTTGTTCTTGCTCAGCCCAGCAGCCTGCCGCGCAGGCGCAGGTGCCTCTGCAGAGCGGCCAGCCCCATGACTCTGCATGGGCCTGTACCGCCCTGGGTGAAGGGATGAGGGCCCCGGCTGCTCCAGGACCCGCAGGGCGAGGCCGAGGACAGGCACAGGTCCTTCCCTCACTCGGGAGGAGCCCTGGGCCAGCCCTGATGCTCCCCGTCCTCCATGCTTGGCCAGCAATGTGACATTAGAAGGCCGCGCAGCAGGAGAGAGAATCCTGCAGCCACCACAACCAGGCCGGCACCTGCACGTCATGAAATACTCCCTCGGTGTTTGGAGCAGAGTAACTCAGCAGCATCTTCCCATTCTTCTTTCTCTCAGGCCAGTTTGACTCCAAGGCTGTAACTTCGTGTAGAAATGAAAAATCGGTTTGCAATATGCAAATCAACCTGACCCTCATCCATTGCTAATAATTTCAGCTGTTCTGCCCTTTCGGTGTTACACTATGGTTCAGGTCTAGAAATTAAACTGTTAGCCTCTTACAGAAGTCAGGCAATAAAGCAACATAATTACAAATTCCATCCCAACAAGATAATCTTTCCTTGGTCCCACACACGCCATTCTCAGAGGCAGAGGCGCAAGGCCAGCGTGGTGAGAAATCCAGATTTCACAGATTTTGTGGTCGTAGCCAAATGTTAAGTCTAAGGGAAATGAGGCTCTGACAGATGTGCACAGCCCCCGACAGCAGACAGCTGTGGGCTCATTGCTCCCACGCTGGGTACCTGCAGTAGGGGGCACCCGAGAGCGTCACTTGATGGGGGACCGTGGGCGCTACAGGGGCGGTGTCCCAGTTAAAGTCCCGCCTGTCACCTGCCTGGTTGCTGCTTCCCATAGAGGGCCACAGAGCAGCGGCCCTGGCTCCTGCAGTGAGACCCACGCGGTCCCAGAGCCCCCTTCAAGCGACCTTCTGGGGATGCAAGAGTAGGCTCTCTGCCACCGCTGCATTCAGGGGACTCCTCTTTAGTTTGCCTGACCTTTTTTATTCATTCCCTCCAAGCCCCTTTTACAACTTTGTCAGACCTTCCACAGTTCATCCGAACTCTCAGCTCTGTACTCTTCCTCTTCCCTTCCTGACTTTGGAATCATAGTCATTTCAAGAACAAAACTTTACTTTCTTTTGTCCCCCAAACCTTGTCATGCTCTGTAACTTCCTGTGTAAGATGTGCCTCATGTACCTCACACACAGAATCTCTCCCCTCACTATTTTTAGTTTTGGTTGTCAATCCTTAGGCACTTTGGGTAACAAGCCTGTAATCCCAGTACTTGGGAGGCTGAAGCAGGAGGATTAAGTTTGAGCCCTGCCTTGGCAACTTCACAAGACACTGTCTCAAAGTAAAAAATGAAAAAGAGGGCTGGGGGTGTGGCTCAGCAACAGCCCTCGATTCACTCCCAGATACCACAAAAAGGGTGGGGAAATGTGTGCTTTCTCATGATGCAAAGTGATTTTTCCTTCCTGGACTCCTGGGCTCAGGCAATCCTGCCGCCTGAGCCTCCAGAGTCCAACAACCACAGGCGTGCGCCATCGTCTTGGCTCGCAGTAGAACTCTGAAGTGTGGAAATGGACCTCAACATTTTCAGCCTTGCTCCTTGTGTACAGTATGCAAGCAAAATTACCAAAGTGTATGGACTTTAAACTTAGGCTAAATAACGGATGTCTTAATATCTCAACTTACTTAGAAATGATCTAGACATCTAACGTAGATTACTTAATTCAGTACAACATAACTTAGAATTTCAGGTTACTGAAAACGTTTTGAGAAGCTGTGAAGAATTCCTTCATCAGTGTTTATCCTGTTTACATTTACCTCATCCACCTGTTCTCAACGATGGTCTGCATTCCTCATAGTAAGCGTCCAGGCACAAGCTATCCTCTGAACATCTCACAGCATGAGTGTCTTGGTCACTTCCCTTGTGGCTGCGACAAAACACCTGACACCCACAACTCAAAGGGGGAAGGGTTGACTCTGGCTCACCTTCCAGAGGTCACAGTTTTGGCATGGTCAGCACACTGGGGGAAGGTTCTGGAAGATGAGATGCTGCTCAGGTTACGGTGGGCAGAAAGAAGGAAAGAGGGGATCAGGCAGGGAGAAAGAGCAACCCTCTCCCTCAGAGCCCACCTCTGGCAGCCAGGCAGTCGGAGACTCTTGGGTGGACAGACAGACCCATGGGCACCGCACCCCTTCATCCCATCACTGCCCAGGGCACTGAGTACATGACAGAGAATGCTGACCACTTTTGTCAACACATTTACAAGATAGAAATACAGGAATATGCATTGACCAGCTTATGAAATGATCATTGAATCCAAATTACACTTATGATACAGAGGAACAACTTAAGGTCTCCTGCTCAGGTAGCTAAACACCAAGATTTCCATTTGCAAACCTCACATAAGCTATGGCCCAAATTTTTCACATGAATCAGATCCTATAACAGATTGCGTATTTTAAAGCCACTTTATTATTATTATTATTATCATTATTGTCATTATTTTAGTCTCTAATGAGTCTAGGAGTTAATTCTCAGATGTCTACTTTGGTGCTAGGTCTGAATGGAAATAAACTGCTAAGCAACCTGGAATAACAAAAAATAGGCAAAAAAGGCATCAATCAAGATAGAAGGGAAAAAGAGAGTTAAAGATCTTTATGAGTTAACCTTATCAACACAGCTTAAGAAAGCAAGTGCCCAGTTTTCTTCGTATTTCTTGAGAATGTCTTTACTTGGAGATAAAAACAATCCAGGTGTATGTCTACATATTATGCAGGGGCCAGGGATTTAGCTCAGTGGCGCTGCCACCTGCCTCAAAAGTGCAAGGAACAGAGTTTGATCCCTGGTTAAAAAAAAAAAAAAAAAAAGCACATAAATATCATGCAAAAGCCACTGATTATTTAATATCCTTGGATAATCCATAAAAGCAATAATTCCAATAAAACAAGTGAGAGATGGCAGTTTATTATGATGGTTGATTCTGTATTTTCAGGGAAAAACGTAAAGAAAACTCCTCTTACCTTTTGTTTTTCTATTATAACAAGAGGGTTTTGGTATATCATTGTTACTAAAATCTATTTTTAAAATAAAATCTGTTCTGCATTAAAAAAAAGATTTATCTTAGAGAAGTTCACCAAAATTTTAATGAGACGTGCTGATCATACAAAATATTAAACCTCCACAGTGGTGCATGCCTATGATGCCAGCTCCTTGGGAGGCTGAGGCAGGAGTGTCACAAGTTCGAGACCAGCCAGGGCAACTTAATAATGCCCTGTCTCAAAATTTAAAAATAAAATTAAAAACAACTTAAAGGGGCTGCAGGTGTAGCTCAGTACTACACTGCCCCGGGTTTGATCTCCAAGACACACACACACACACACACACCGCTTGATGTGCAGACCTGACAGCAAGTTTACCAGGAAAGGCTGTGCTATCAGGATATCAGGATGAGCTGGATCACACTGAGGAGTGCAGGGCAGATCTTTCACACAAGAGCAGGAGCTCAAGCCTCCTCTGGGAGTTTGGGGCCATTTCCCATGACGGGTTTCTATAAAATCCTGCCCAGTGCCATGTTCAGGTTTCCAAAGAATCCTGGGGCCAGGCAGTATCATGAGTGAAAATCACTTTCTCCTCTTCAGGAGTCGGAGCTGAAAATTGCCTGGCTTTAAACACAGTGCAGCCCAGCAGGCTGCACAGGGGTGCTGAGGTCCCGCTTCTTCTTGCTCCACGCTGTGGCCGGGGCTGGCTGGAAGGGCTTCCTTACTCCCCTCACGCACGCTCCCTCTCCCCCTCCTCTGCCTCCTCACCCCACTCTTCCTTTTCTCTTTTTTCTTCTTTATTAGGTTTAGGTTTATTGGTATATTCTAGGTAGACAGCACAGTTACATATATCACTGGGATCCTGTACCTCTACATGACAGGTCTTGGTTCTCATTTTTCCCCTTGTCCCTGCCCTCCCTTCACCCGCTCCTCCCTTCCCTATTTACAAAGACTTTGTTTCCATTTTTTTTCCTATTCTCATATTTTTCTTTTCCTCTTTTTCCTCTCCCCTACCCTTCCCCTACTCCTTTAGCCCTTTTCTTCCTACTTCATCTCTTCCTTTTCTCCCCTTTTCCTTCTTTTCTTTATGTTTTATTGTCCCAGGCTTCTAGTTCACCATGAGAGAGAACCAGTGTAGGGAGAGTGAAGCTTCTCATAGACGGAAACACAAAGCCAAGCCGTCCTTAGTTAAACTCGCCCATCCTTCTAGGTACTTGGGAGTCGAGGGGCCATCACTCACTGGAGCACCAAACAGTAGCTCCCCACACACACCATGGCGTCCTCCCTCCTTGGGCTCCCACTCCCTGCTGCCATGGGAGCAGCCTCCTGCCCGGCCATTGCCCCGCTCCCTGCATTGGTACTCACTGGGCTCCTGTGCTGCTGTTCAGGGCAGGCGGAGTTTCCCCGGGCTTCTCCGTGGTGTCCGGGGCAGATCCTGACATTTCAGGGGAGGCCGGAGGTTAGCACGAGGTGGTCACCCTGACCCCTTCCTGTGAGTTCCCAGCTGGGCCCCTAACCCTCCCATGGCCCAGGCCCACGGTGTATGGTCGCAGGCCTTCCCACCATGGAAATTCCCTCGCCAGGCATAAGATGCTTAGTTACTTAACTGTGCCTTTCATGGGGAGGAAGTGAGTATCTTTTATCTTTGGGATCTTTATGCTCAGATGCTCATAGAATGTCAGTACTAAAAAGACAAGGTGGTAAAAACTGAGGAAAGATGGAAAACCAAACATGAATTTTTAAATAATGGAAGTATGGCTAAAAAAAATACAATGAGAGAGAACAAAGGTTCTGAAAAATGTTCTGAAGCAGCAAACAGGCACTCCACTGGCAGCAGGCAGCTGCTGGGGTGGCCTCTCTATGGGAGAGACCTGCCAGTGTGTGCAGGGCCCTGGTTCCATCCCAGCACCCAGAAACGAACAGATGGGAAAACCCAAGCTGATCAGAAGACACCAGACAGGGAGGCAGATTTAGTTCAGTGTTGCTGCCTCGATCCCCAGGGCCAACAAAAGAGGTAACCAAAAGACACTGAAGGACCACAGCCAACACCCTGGCAGACCTAGCACCAGGAAAGGCACCAACAAGCACCCAGGGCTATCAAGGTTGGGCACCACACTGATCTTGGCACTAATCCACTCCACTCCAGGGACGGTGAATGCCAAAACTCCTGTGCAAGGTGACAGTTCTGCTGCAGAGGTGCAGGAAGTCCACTGTTCTGCACCAAGTATGTGTGACCAGGGCCAGGTGCACACCCTGCGGAGTAACCTAAACCCTCATTCCTTGGTCACTGACATTGACACGAGGCCAAGGTGAGCTCTCTTCTTACCCTGCAAAGCAGAGTTGGGACTTTATGCCAACAGGAACCAAGGCCAGGAGCTCATTTCTCCTCTGGGCTCTC